ATACTAATCTTCCATCCTGGAATGGCTTTCCAGCCTCAATTCTCAACCTAGTCTTCAAAATCAAATTTGAATCTCATTTCATGAAACTTATCTAAGTTCATCTATCTATCAATTCAATAAATGTTTTATGAGGACCTTTGCTGTATACCAAATACTAAGCTACATGTTGGGGATTTTAAAAATTTTTTTTTCTTAAAAATTCCCCAAATTGGCAAGTGACTTTTGGAATATAAAAGGATAAATGCTGTAATCAAGATATGCACAAGATGTTATTGAAAGGCCAGAGGGAAGAAAAATTCTGCCTGTGCGGAGAAAGGACAGGGAAAATTTTACAGAGGAGGTAATATTTGAGCAGAATCTTGAAGAATTAATATTACTTTGCAAGGTAGACAGAGAAAGGAAGAAAGTTTCTAGAGGATGAAACTGAATATCCAAAGGGCACAGAAGCATAAAAACATGTGCATGATTGGGGAATGCAAAACAGTTGGATATTACCAAAGGAAGGGTGATATTCAAAATATTTAACAACCAGTATGGCATGAGTACTGATCAATCAGAATTGACGTGGGCTTACCTGTGCATACCAACTGAATATTAGCCCAGAACCAAAGTCAGGTAGGCTCAGCGCAAGAAGAGTGGCAGGAAAAAATAGGTCAATAACAGATAGCAGGTCTGTGTAAGGATTTAAACCTATTTCAGGAAGCAAGAGAGAAGCATTGAAAGAGTTCAGACGAGTGAAAAATATGTGATCAGTTATATTTTAGAAAGATCAACCAGGCAACTGTATAAAGAATGGCTTTGAAAGGAAAGAAACAAAAGGCTTAGACAATAGTTGGATGATTGCAGTAGTCCAGGTAAGAGATGAAATGTAGCTGAACTGGACCTATGGTAGTGAAGATAGAGGTGAAAGATCAAATTCAAGGCATGTTTAGGAGATAAACTTTGCAGGATTTGATGAACAATTGAGCAGGAGGGATGGGAAACCAATAGATAGACAAATGACGTATTTGAGCTTTCTAATTGGGAAAACTGATGCACAGTGATGCAATCAAATCAAACAGAGAATATAAAAAAGAGCAATGCTTTTGTAAAAGCAGAGTTTAAAATATCTGAGGAACATAGCTGGATACATCCAGAATAACGCAATTAATAGGAGACAGAATCCAGGAGAGATAAATGAGTCACAGTTCATTACGCGGTGGCTGAAATAAAGAAAATAGATGTGTTTCCCAAGGGTAAGAAAAAAAGTAAGAAACAGAAATGGCTGAGGATAGAATCCTGGTGAAGATCATCATTAAGAAATAGGAAGAAAAATAAATCAGTGTTTTGTCTTATATTGAAGCTACTTAGAGACCTCAGTTCTCTCTTCAATAGATTTTGAGTTCTAGAAGGGCAGAAATCACATCTTATTCATCTTTGGGTACCTTTGACATTCATTAAGAGTATTTGACATCTAGTAAGTTTGCATATACACACAAAATGTTTGCTGAGTTGAATTCAGCTTCAACTTCATTCTGGAACACTTGAGGAATATATTATATATATATTCATGTGTATGTATTCATATTCATAAATATATGTATTCATTTATTAGGCTATTTGATTAGATTACTCTTCATAGCTGTATCATTGCATATGAAAACAGGTTCTTCAGTGTACCATCCAAATTCACCCACAACCTCTGAGTACTTTTTTCTGAACTAACAGTCCAATCCATGTTCCAATGGGCCACAGAGCCAGACATTTCATGAAGGTAGTTGTTGGTTAATCAACAGTATGAACTATGGACAGTATGACCTGAGGGATTGATCAATGAAATGATTATTCTCCCTCTACTTTTCATCTTTGTAGAGAATGTGATGTTATGGAAATATTCAGAAACACCTGCTCTACAACATTTTGGTATATGGCATGTACATGGCAGGTTACTTCACCCCCTTGAGTCTGTTCAGTCATCTGTAAAATTGGGATAATATGACCTACCTCTCAGGGTCAATGATGTGAACTAAATGCAATCTTGCAGGTGTAAGCACCAAATTCATTGTTTACATAGTAGGAGTCTTCATCTTTGGTTAAAATAGAACATTATTTTCTCCTTCGGATAAACCATTAGGAAGAACAAAAGATATTTCCCAGTAAAGGAACTGGAAGGTATGAATTATCTCAAAAGTGAATCTCTATTGAGGATGGACATTTTCAATGAAATTTGTGATAACATGACTAAGTTTTTAAGCATGGTAGAAAAAGACATAAGTCTCTGTGTAAATAATCATTGAAGATAGTTCTCTTCTTAATTGTTACTTTGACCAATTTGAGCACAATTATGCTTTTTACCTCAGCAGAGGTGCAGGCTGGAACTAGAGGATGTAAGGGCTTAAGTGAAATTAAAACAAACCATTTGAATGCCAAGTTTGTGCAAGGCAATGTGCTATATGCTGAGACAAAAAAGCAGAGAAACCTCTGCCTTCACTTGAACCACTGACAAAATTTTGGGCCCCAAGAAAGGCACCATGATTGTTTCCTAGTTTAGTTAATAGGGGATCAGGGGTCAGGACTGATGGTGGAATGTTTTGCCTTGATATCCTTATTTTCCCTAACACCAATGAAAAAGTCAACTTACCTTTTCTGTAGAACTACTATAAGAAAAAGCTATAAGGAATACTACTAAAGTGTATAAATAGTCCAGGATCATCAAAACCCACAGAGATTAGAGTGTCTTAGTCACATTTCATTATTGCAGCAAGAAAGAGATCAAGAGGTTTGAGACTGGAAAAAAAAAAGAAAGTTAAAAAACCAAGGTAACATTAACTTGGTCTAAGTGACTAGCTCAGGGAAAGAAACAGAAAGTATCAGATGGAGAGCTGCAGGTGGGATGTCTTAGCAGAGCAAGACAAACACGGGCTTTTGCAATAAAATGATGTGGGTTCTGCTCCTGGCTCTAGACTTCACCAGCTGGTTGATCCTAGCCTTAGCCCTTTGGTTTCTTTGACTTGCAAAATAGTGAAAATGTTAATAGCAATAAGTCCCTCATAGGGTTTCTGTGAGGCTCCCAGGAGTTGAGGTGTGCAGACATTCTTTGTAAGCTGTAAAGCTCTATGACGATGGGAACTTAGATCACCGGCAGTGTGCTATAAGGATTCTGACACATTGCCGGCAGCTGCTGTTCATTTGCACGTTTGACTAGTGGAAACTTGAAATTGCCTATTCCTCAGAATAAGCTGTTCATAACAAGGCAACTCATGCTGAAGTTCTGATTTTCTTAGTTTTTCTTAGTCCTGACCCCAAACCCCCAGTCCCAGCCAAGAGAGATACAAATATATTTATGGCCCTAAATTTAAATTTAAGATTAACTATGGGCAGTTCTAGGCCTATTGAGGAA